TAGAAACCTGGTGCAATGGAAACTCCCAGGAATCTACAAGGGTGGCCCTAGTAAAAATTATTATCAATATGAGACATGTAGCTTGAACCAGCCATCTTCTATATCCAGGCAAGGCTTCCAGTGGAGAGACTGGGACACTAATCCAGCCAAAAAACCTTTGACGAACAATTTGTCCTGCCTGCAAAATGTACTATGGTAAAGGTGGTACAAAACTTGTTGGAGTGTCCCACCAATGACTTGTCTAACTTGAGACCCAAACCACAAGAAGAAGTCGACCTCTGACACTACCTAGAAGGCCAGAAACCAGAGGCTGGATAGCCCAAAGACCGAGAATAGAACCAAACATGACGCTTTTTTTAAAAAGTAAATAAAATGATTCCCAATAATATACTTGTAGGAAGGAGCCTAGCATAATTATCATCAGAGAGGTCCCATACAGCAACTGATGGGAATAGATGCAAAGACGCACAGTTAAACATTAAGTAGAGCTCAGGGAACCCTGCAGAAGACACCATAAGTAACAGCTGACAGAATCATGTAACCAAGGCTCACAGAGACTGAAAACACTTAAAACTAAAACCTCAAGAAACAGTTTTCACGATGAAACACAGACATAGAAATAATACAAACCTGTGTTCCTCGGCCATGCTCACTCAAAATGGTTCCAGAATATACTATTTCCTATTTCCTTTTAAGTGAGAGGTGTGTTCTTGTATAAAGTATTATCATTATTGCTCCAATAGTTATAATTTCAATAAGTCTTAAAGAAAGTGAATAAAAAGGTAGAACTTTCTTTTAGTTTATTACTTCTTGTATATTCTTCCTTTCTCTACAATGATTCAAGAATATGATCTGTATCATTTGCATTAGATTGAAGAATGTCTTTAAACATTTCTTGTGGGGAATGTTTCTTGAGTTCCCTCCATTTTTGTTTCTCTGAAGAAAAATAAGACTTCTTTTCTTCTGCAACTTTTTTTGTAACTATTAGCTCAAATTAGGAAAAAGCTTGCTTCACATGTCAATCACTTCTCCCTCTCCCTCTCCCTCCCCTCCCTCCAACCCCCCCACCTGCCCCTACCCCATCCACCCTCTACTCCCCAGACTGGGTAGGGCCCTAGATAATGGCATGGCTAAATTAAACCAATTAACATGTTATATCACACATATTTGTAGGGAGACAACCTAGCCCTGCCCAATAGTCCTGGGAAAGGTACCAGGTGGACCCGGGACTCTCCCATAAGGGCATGGTGAAGGAAAGCCGGGGTGACGTGAGGGAGTTTCTTAAGGGCGGCACGTGGGGACCCTATTGCCTTTTCTGGCCCCGCTTGCTGGGTTCCTGTAACCTCGCTCTGGCCTGCGTTTTGCCCTGGTGTTTTCTTGAATAAAAGAGACTTTACTATCCTGGATTACAGTTCATCTTTTGGCGCACACTCCAACCTTTATTCGTCACATATTCATCATTTTTGTTTTGAGAACACTTAAAGTATACTATCTCACAACTTTTAAAATATAGCATATTGTTATCAACCATATTTATCATGCTCTCAGTAGACCCCAATACTTCACAGAGTCCATGCCTCTTGTCCAACTGCAGTTTTATATCCTTAAACCAATAGTTTCCCCATTGTTAAAAGACACATATTGAAGCCTAATAGCCACAATTCTGCTCTCTGTTACCATGAGTTCATCATTTCTAGGTAACACATAAAATTGAAATTGTGTGCCATTTGTCTTCCAGTGTGTCACTTATTTTTTCTTTGGCAAGCATATAAATTTACTATTTACTAAGGATGAAATCAAATTTGCATTCAC